GCGTGCGCTTCGCGCAGCTCTTCCCGCTCTGGACCGTGGCCGCCGCGACCTTGGGCGTCACGCAACCGGCGCTCGTCGAGCCCCTGACGACGCCCGCGGCGTTCCGCAACGGCCTGGCGCTGCTCATGCTGTCGATGGGAGCGACGCTCGCGCCCGCGGACCTCCGCGAGGCCGCGACGAAGAAGAAAGCCCTGGCCGTGAACCTCGCGTCCTGCTTCTTCATCGCGCCGCTCGCCGCGCTCGCCGCGTCGGCGCTCCTAAACGTCGACGCGGCGACGCGCGCGGGGCTCGTGCTCCTGGGGTGCGTGAGCGGCGGCCAGGCGTCGAATTTGTGCGCGCTCCTCGCGGGCGGCGACGTCGCGCTCAGCGTCGTCCTGACGACGAGCACGACGCTCGCCGGCGTGGCGCTGACGCCCTGCCTCGCGTCGGCGCTCCTCGCGACGACGGTCGCCGTCGAGGCCGGCGCGATCCTTCGGTCGACGGCGTCGCTCGTCCTCGCGCCGCTCGCGGCGGGCCTGGTCTTCGCCCGCGCCGCGCCCGCCCTGGCGGCGCGCGTCGTGCCCTGGTGCGCGCCGGCGGGCGTCCTGGCGACGACGGGCCTGGTCTGCGGCGGCGCGGCGAACGCCGCGCGCGTGCTCGTCGGCGCCGGCGCGTGGCGCGCGCACGCGGGCGTGGTACTCCTCGCGCTCGCGTCGGCGGCTTTGGCCTATTGCGCGAGCCGGGCGGCGGGGCTCGGCGAGCGCGAGGGGCGCACGGTCGCCATCGAGACGCTCGTCAAGTCGCCGACGCTCGCGTTCGTCCTCGCGCGAAAACACCTCGGCGAGCCCGCCGCGGGCGTCGCGGCGGCCGCGATGATCTGGCTCGCCATCCTCGGCGCGGCCGTGGCGTCGATGTGGGGGAGGATGGCGGCGCGGCCCACATCGGCCGTCGCCGCCGGTCCGCCGGCGCGCTGGAGCTGGAGCGGCCCCGTGGTCCCGTAAGTAGGAGCAACTCTCGGAGCTGGACGGGTTCTTATGAGCAGAGCGCCCACGCGACAGACGGGGGGCGACGTTCAAGCGTCGTCATCCTCTTCGTCGTCGGAGCATGTTTCCCAGCCCGCGTCGTCGTCGTCGTCGTCGCCGCCGACGTCGGCCCGGCGGCGCTTCGCCGGCTTGGCCGCTTCGCGGCGCTTCTTCGGCTTGCCATGATTGCTCAGCCGAATCATATCTTCGGCGACGTTCGCGAAGTACCGCTCCATGCCTTCGACGACCTGCCGCAGCGTGTCGAGGTCGTCGATCGTCTGGACCTCCTCGAGCGTCGGCATCTTCCCCAGGACCTGGGACACGCCGGACGCCGCTTCGGGCTGCTCCGCGACCATGCCTTTCAATGCGCGCACGACCCGGGAATTGAGGGCTTTCTTCGCGCGGTCGAGGAGGTCCCACCGTTCGGCGTCTCGCATTCCCGGGAGCACGGCGTCCCAGCAGCCGGCGGCCGGCGGCGCCACCGCGTCGTCGTTTTCGCCGCCGTCGCCGTCGCCGCCGTCGGATCCGAGCCCAGAGTCCGAGTCGGACGAGTCGTCGCCCATGCTGTCGTAGCCGCCGAAGCCGCCGCCGCCGCCGCCGCCGCGGCACGGGCAGCGGAAGCCCTGCAAGCCCCTAAAGTAGTGGTCGCCGCAGCGGTGGCAGTGGGCCTCGCGGTAGTCGCCGATGCACTGGCCGAAGGCCGGGCACTCCGTGCAGTGGTTGTGGAACTTGCCGCTGTCGAAACGCGTGTCCCCGGAGCACATGCCCGTCAAGTAGTTTCCGCAACATTCCTCGCACTGGACCGCGCCCTCCTCGCCGCCGTTCTCGTAGTCGTTGCCTCCGTAATCGGACTGGTGGAGCGCGTCGCGGACCGTGCACACCAGCTCCTTCCCGCAGCAGCAGCAGCCGCCCTCGTAGAGCGTCGCGTCGAGGAACGTCGCCGCGTCGCCCATGGGCACGTGGCCGTTGAGCATGCCCGCGCGCAGGCACGCGCTCGTGTGCTCCGGCTGTTCGACGCCCGCGCTCCGGAGGTACGCGTGGATCGTTTCCTCCGTCGGCGGCGGCGGCGGCGCGGCGAAGGCGCCGATGATGCCCTGGACGGCGTCGGGCACGCCCGCGGGGAGGCCCGGGATCGGCGGCGGCGGCGCGTCCACGGCGGCGACGGCCGGCGGCGCCGCGGCCGGATCGACGTCGACGTCGCCGGCGACGACCTTCGCGGCGAAGCGGCCGTCCTTGGCGGCGAGGGCGTTCGCGAGCTCCTCGATCTCGCTGCGGTCGCCGACGACGTAGTGGCGCGTCGCCGTCGAAGCGGCGCCGCCGGTCCAGTCGTCGCAGGCGACGCGGACGCGCTTGTCCTTGCGCCGCGGCAGCACGGGCGTCGCGGCGAAGGCGCCCGCGGGCGTCGAGAAGTCGAGGCAGAGCACGGCCGCGTGCTCGAGGTCCGCGCCCATGGCGATCAGGCCCTCGGCGACGCGGCCCGGGTCGCGGTCGCCCTCGCGCTCGCGCGAATGCGTGCCGAGGTCGTCGACGGTGAGGGTACCCTGGGCGTTCTTCGGTACAGGCAGGCCGCCGTTGGGCCGCGCCGCGTCTAGCGCGACGACGCGCGCGCCGACGAGCGTCGCGAGGTCGACGCGGAACCGGCGCGAGACGCTCCGCTTCCAGCGGACGTGGTCCGCGAGCACCTGCAGCGCCCCGGGGCCGAGCGCCCGCAGGCGCGCCTCGTGGCTCGAGCCCCGCGGCGCGCGCGCGATGGGGTCCTCGTCGTCGTCGTCGCCGTCGTTGACGTCGTAGCCGCCGCGGCCGTGCCTCAACATGATGCCGCTCATCGTCACGCGCTGCCGCTTCGTCGCCTTGCAGACGGCGTCGATCGCGTCGAGCTCCGGGACCGTCGCGACGGCGTCGCGGAGGGCTTCGTCGTCGGGAGCCGCGTCGAAGGCCGCCCAGGCCGCCTCGAAGGCCGGCGCGAGGGTCGGCTTGTGGTCGCAGAAGTCGTAGACGAGGCGCTCGCCCGCGGGGTCGTGGCGCACGAGGAGCTGGCACGGGTAGCTCGCGTGGAAGCCCGCGACGTCGGCGCCGCCGGGCGCCGCGAGGTAGACGCTCCAGACGCGCCCGCCGGCGAGCGTCGTCAGCGGCGCGAGCTTCGACCGGTCGTGGATCGCGTACTCCTGGGGCCAGAACGCCTCCGGCGCCTCGGGGTCCCTCGGGTGCCGCCGCGCGACTTCGACGAAGGCGATGTCCTCGAGGTCCGCCCATTCCGGGTGACAGATGTCGTGGCGGTAGCCGTTGACGGGCACGCCGTCGTAGCCGTCCGTCTCGACGACGCCGGGCAGCAGCCGCTCGACGAACTGCTCGCAGTCCGGCGCGCGGACCGCGTACGCCTCGCCCGCCCGCGGCGACGCGAGGAGCAGCCGGAGCTCCTCGAGGGCCGGCCGCCGCGCGGAAGCGAGGAGGTCCACGACGCTCGCGCGCGCCATGTGGAGCGGGTGCTCGGCCACGCCCTTGGCGCCGGTCTTGGCCCAGCGGAACGCCGCCTCGGCGCCGAGGTCCTCCTCGTCGTCCTTGTCGAGGATCGTGGCCATCATCGCGGGCATGGATCCGTCCGCGTTCACTTCGCCCATGATGCCCGATGCGGCTTGGCCCATGCTTTAAACGAGGCAGCCAAAACAAGTCGAGTCACCCGTGCTTTTAGGACGCAGCCAGACGGCGGATCCGGAGAGCAGTCGAGTCACCCGTGCTTTTAGGACGCAGCCAGACGGCGGATCTGGAGAGCAGCCCGCCTCAGTCGTGTCGCTCGAAGTTCATCTTGAAGGGCAATTGAAGGAAAGTTGAAGACAAGTGCAGGATGGCTAAAAATCCGCCCATGGGGCCGCGGTTAAAGGTTCGGATGCGGGGCGCTCTGGGGCCGGCGGTCGACTTTGCGAGGTCGGGCCGGCGGCGGCGGGGCGTCGCGGGGCGGTCGAGCCGCGACGTATGTGCAACGGGCGCGCGTTTCCGCGGCGCGCCTAGCGGGAGTCGTAGGTGCAGATGCCGAGGCCCGAGATGGCCTTGCAGGAGGCCTTGTCGCCGCACTGGGCGTCGCCGGCGCGGAGGCTGGCCTCGTCCGTCGACGGCGAGCACATGAGCGCGCAGTACTTCTTGCCCGACGCCGCGTCCGAGAGCGCGCACTGGGGCTTCGCGGTGACGCCCGCGGGGACGTCGGTGGGGCAGGCGGCGGCCGTGCAGGACGGGGAGCAGATCTCGCCCGCGAGGCCCTGGATCTGGACCTTGAGCTCGTCGGCCTCGCAGCCGACGTTCGGGTCGCCGTAGTGCGTCTCCGCGTCCGCGACGCCCGTCGGCTTCGAGGCGCCCGTGGGGTAGGACGGCTCGGAGGCGATGCCGCAGATGTTGGAGCCGCGGGCGATGCGCACGTAGCCGGACTCGCCCCAGGTCGTGCCCCAGGAGTTCTTGACCTTCCAGTATTCGGAGCCGTCGTCGGTGCCGTAGCCGACGACGAGGACGCCGTGGTCGAGGTTCGTGCCGCAGGCGGACGAGTCGAGGATGCCGGAAGAGTAGGACTGGAAGACGGACTTGTCGGCCTCGATGGCGATGGACACGGGGCCGATGGCGACGGCCGTCTTGAGCGCGTCCTCGTCGCCGGACGGCACGTCCGTGTGGCCCGAGAGCGTCGCGACCTTGTCGCAGGTCGTCTTGCACGTGCCCTTGGCCGCCGTGTAGGCGTAGTCGGCCTCGGAGCAGATGCCGCCGTTGGACTGGATCCACTTGAACGCGTTGTCCATGAGGCCGCCGTTGCACCCGCTGTCCGTCGTGTCGCAGTCGACGAGGTTCTGCTCGCTGAGGGACGTGAGCGTGTTGCCCGCGATCTCGAAGGCGCCCTCGAGGGCGCCCGTCGTGGAGAAGGACCAGCAGGAGCCGCACTGGCCCTGGTTCTTGACGCCCGTGACCGCGCCGGACGCGACCCAGTCGACGTCCGACGCGACCGCGTCGACCTGCTTGGCGAGCGTGTAGTCGTAGTTGCGCTCGCGCTCCATGTAGGCCTTGGCGCCCGTGGCGTCGCCGACGTACTGGGCGACGAACTCGTCCCAGAACATGCCCGAGAACTCGTTGTGGCCGAGCTTGTACGTCGAGTTCTTCGCGTTGTGCGCGACGATGCGCGCGTCCGTCTCGAGGAAGGCCGCGAGGGCGCGGGCCTCGGCCTCGGCCGTCTCGTAGGCGACCTCGAAGGTGCTCTTCCAGAGGCCGAACTTGGACTGCGGAGGGGATTCGAACTCGGGTCCCGGGTCCGGCGGCGCGCGCGCGCGCGGCGGGGGTGCGAGGAGGCGGGTCGCTCGTCGCGGTGCGCGGGACGGGTGCGTGTCCGGGGGCGGCGGGGCGCTTTGGGGCGCCCCGCCCGCGGGCCGCCCCGGGTTTTCCGATCTTCAAGGGCTGCCCCGGGGCGGGCGGGGAGTCGCGAGACGCCGGGCGCGCACGCTGGCCTCCATGTCGGGGGAGTTGAGGTCGACGGCGAGCTCGACCATGAGGCCGGCGGCCGGGGCGGCGGCGAGGGCGATGAGGGTGGTCTTCATCGTGCGTGAGGGTGTTTAGAGCTTCTTGGCGCGGGACTCGGCAGCCTTTGACCCAAATCAACCAATGGGAAGACCCGCTTTCGTTCGCGGCGCGCTATCCGGCTTGTTCAACGGAGATCGGCGCCGCTATTTGGCTGACCCGGGTCAAGGCCGCCGAGTCCCGAAGCTGCCCAATCAAGAGGCTGCCCGGGTTCTTGCCGTTGGGGTTTTGATTTTATCAACCATGCAACATGGTGGGTCGCTAAATCAGTGGAGCTCTGCGGCTCTTCGGCGGCCAGCACCAAGGCCGCAAGCTTCGGCGGCCAGCACAAAGGCCGCAAGCTTCGGCGGCCAGCACAGCCATGGCGCTCCGCGCGGCGCGCGCGCGCGCGCGCCAGGCCGTGGACCGCGGCGCGGCGCAGCGGCTCCCGGCGATCCGCATCCCGAACTTCTGCAGCGAATCTGACCTGGCCACCATCGACGCGCTCGGTCTGGAGCACGCGCGGCGCCACGGCCCGCCCGTCGCGGCGTCGCCGACGCGGCCGAACTGGACGACGCAGTACCTCAACGCGGACGGCCTGGCGCGGGAGCGGGCGCCCGAGCTGCTCGACCGCCTCGTGGACCTGGCGACGGACGTCGACGCGGAGCACTTTGGGGGCCGCGCTCGCGCGAGCGGCGCTCGCGCGCGGTGCGTCGAGCTCCATCGGTGCGGCGAGGGGTCGTCGCTGGCGGATCCGATGCACTTCGACAGCGGCTCCATCGTCACGCTGGACGTCATGCTCGACGAGGCCGACGCGGGCGGCGTCTTCGAGACCCTGGAGGCGGACGGCGCGCTTCGACCGCACGTCTTCGAGCGCGGCGACGCCATCGTCTTCCCGTCCTACAAATACCACTCCGTCTCGCAGATCGAGGCGGGCCTCCGGCGCGTGCTCGTCATGGAGCTCTGGCAGGGCGACGAGAAGCGCGCGAACTTCCGGAGCAGCATCGCCCGGGGCGACGACGACGAGCTGAAGCTGGGCGTCAAGGAGGCCGAGGCGCCCCACGAGGCCGCGTGGCGTAACTAGTCTGTGTGCGGCCACGAAACGAACATGTTAAAAAACACAGAGACACGCGGCGTTACCCGGCCCAGGACGTCCGCCCGCCCGGGTGGCCCTTCTTCGCGCGGAGCCCGCCCGTCTGGTAGACGTCCTTGGGCTTGCTCTTCTTCTCCTGGGGCCGCACGGAGTTGGCGCGGGGGAACTTGCCCTCGCGGTAGAGGTAGTAGGAGTAGGGCCGGTAGGGCCGGTTGCGGCCCACGGCGGTCGCGACCCAGGCGACGACCGCGTCCGCGGCGAAGAGGCGCAGCCGGAGCGCGGACGCCCGCGCGGGGCCGACGGCGTCGGCGACGACGTCGGCGATGGGCGGCCCCGGCGCGTGGGTCTCGCCGGCGACCTGCGTCGGGAGCCGGCCCCGGCAGTCCGCGGCGCGCTCGTCCGCGCCCGCTCGGAGGAGCGTGCGCACGAGCAGGGGGTCGCCGGCCCGGCACGCGGCGTGGAGCACCGTGTCCGTGCGGCAGTCCGCCGCGTTGACGTCCGCGCCCGCGCCGACGAGGAGCCGCAGGAGCCGGCTGCGCCCGGACGCGCCGGAAAAAAAGGGCCGCGAGCCCGCGCAGAGCAGGTGCGCGGGCGTCCGGCCCTGCGCGTTCCGCGCGCGCGCCAGCGCCCGCGGGTCCCGCGCCCGGTCGAGCTCCCGCGTGGCCAGCTCGATGTCGCCGCGCCAGCAGAGCGCGTGCAGGTCGCTGTGGCCCGGGTCCGGCCGCGGCCGGGCCGCCGCGTGCCGCGCGTCCTCCCGCTCCAGCAGTTCGCGGACCTCGCGCCAGCTGTAGCCCACGAGGGGCTGCGAGCCGTCGTTCGTCTCCGCCAGCGCGTGGTGCAGCTTCTTGAATTCCTTGCTCTGGTGCTCGCGCGGGACCATCGTCGGCCAGCACGTCCGGTAGGGACCCTTGTAGACGAAGGCGCGGCCGCCCTCGCCCCGGTCGTCCGGGTGCGCTTCGTCCGCCTCGGACCCGAGCTTCAGCCGCGCGTCCGTGAGGTCGATGGCGCCGGCGACGCCCGCGTCCTTGCCCCACTTCGCGCGTAACCCGACGGCCTCGCGCTTCTCGTAGCGGCCCTTCGACTTCTTCCCCGCGGCGTCGGCCTTGGATCGCATGCGTAAAAAACCGATCACCGACGACTCGCGCCGCTTCCGCATCTCCGGCGCGCGCTTGTGCATGGCCTTGTTCGCGCGCCAGCCGTCGTCCTGCATCGCGCGCGCGAACTTGCCGCCCTCCTTGGGCTTGTCGACGGCGACGTACTCGTAGGGCTTCTGGCCGCTGGGATCCGCGCGGATCCGCAGCTCCTGGTCCGGGTTCACGCGGCTCAGCGCCGGCGCGGCCTCGGAGGCCGCGACGCCCTTTTCGTACTTCTCGACGGTCGACGCGCGCACGCCCGCGTGGTCCATCTTATGCATGCGCACCATGGTTGTTGGAGCTGTCGCACGAAGCCGCCGGCGCCGGGACGCACCGCCGACGGGCGCGCACGGTTGGGAGGACGCTGCCCAGCGGCACCCTGCCCACAAGTTTGGGCCAATCGTGAAGAAAAGTGCTCTTGGGAGTTGACCTTGAGAAGCTCAAGCACGCGTGTAAAAACCGACAGCCTAGAGAGCATTAGAGGGCTGGCATCGAGGCTGCGCGGGCGCCGTCGCGCACCATGGACATCGACGAGGGCTCCTACGAGGCCTCCTACCGGTCCCACGGGTCGTCCCACCAGTTCCCGTTCAATTCGCGGCCGTCGTCGGCGCGGAAGCAGCGAGAGAGCGGCGTCGTCGAGGTCGACGACGAGCCCGGCGCGAGCCTCCTCGCGGGCCTCGGCGCGGCCGTGCTGGCCCCGGCGGCCTTCGTCGGCGAGGCCGCCGCGCCGTCCGGCGAGGAGGCGGCGGCGCTCCGCGGGGCGCCCGCGCCCGCGCCCGCGGCGGCCGGCGACGAGGACCTCGCGTCCCGCATCGGCAGCCTCGAGGCCAACCTGCTGGCCCCGCAGCCCGTCGTGTCGCTGCTGCCCGCCGACGCCGTCACGCAGACCATGGCCCAGGTGCTCCACGCACTCCGGGGCGTCGAGCGGCTCATCGAGGCCGAGGCCGCGGCCGTCGACGACAAGATCGAGGCCGCGCTGAAGAAGAAGTCCTTCCAGGACCTCAAGGCCGGCTCGGCGCGCGCGTCGACGGTCAACGCCCTCGACAAGGCCATCGTCGGCGCGCGCGCGGGCGTCGTGCCCGAGAAGGCCGAGGCCATCGAGCGGCCGAAGACGGCCGCGGAGCGGCGCCGGAGCTCGCTCGGTCTGGACGAGGGCATGCGGCGGTCCGCGGTGCAGGCGTTGGTCGCCCAGATGATCGTCGAGAGCTCGCGGCGGCACCAGATCGAGACCGACGCGTTGAAGCGCCGCGTGGCCGTGCTGGAGCGCAACGCCGCGGCGCGCGGGCCGTCGCGGGGCGACGGCGACGGCGACGCGTTGGCCGCGTACGACGACCCGGAGCTCGCGCACCACGTCTCCGAGCTCGAGGAGGCGACGCGGGCGACGCGCCACACGCTCACGAGCCTGACGTCCGACGTCGTCGGGCTCAAGGCGCGCACGGCGGGCCTCGAGCGGTTCCGCCGCGAGGAGGAGGTCCGCGAGAAGACGTTCCAGGCGTCCGTCGACGACGCGAACAAGTCCCTCAAGCGCCTCGCGACCTACGCCGCCGACGCGAACGCGCACCACACGCGCACGTGCCGCCAGCTCGACCACAAGCTCAGCGTGCTGGCGACGAACGTCGAGGGCGACCCGCGCGCGTCCGCCGCGGGCCTCTGGGCGCGCATCGTCGACGAGGGCTCGTCGGACGCGTCGACGTCCTACGCCGACGAGGAGGAGGCGGCGTTGGCGGCTTTAGCGGGCGACGAGGGCGAGGACACGCTCCGACGACGCCGCGAGTCCGCGGACCGGGGCGCGGTCGCGCGGCGGCGCTGGCGCTGGGCGATCCGCCGGACGGTCGTCGCGAACCGCGCGCGGAACCACGGGTCTACCATGCTCGACTGCGTCCGCCTCGGCGAGCGGAGCCTGCTGGAGCGCGTGCGCGGCGCGGAGCACGCCTTATTCATGCTCAGCCAGAACGAGGCCGGCGTCGCGCGCCACGTCACGGAGATGCGGCGCCGGAGCCTCGACCTCGACGACGAGAAGAGCCGCGACCTGGCGCGGCGCATGCGGCGCGCGGCGCGGCTGCGCGAGGAGTCCGCGCGCGTCATGGACGAGGCCAAGGCGGCGCTCGCGCGGCTCCAGGTCGACGGCTGGCTCATGGCGGACAAGCAGACCATCGTCGACCCGCGCTACGAGCACGCCGCGCACGCGATCGCCGGCTTCGTGAAGCTCCGGGAGACGGAGAAGGTGCGGTCCACGCGCCTGTCCGCCGCCCTCGCCGTCGCCCAGCACGAGCTCGCGACCGTCAAGGACGACCTCCAGCACGAGGCGCGGGCCGCGGAGTCCGCGCAGCTCCAGGCGGACGTCCACAACGCGGAGCGGGACCTAAGGACCGCGCGGATGACGGACGCGATCGTCGCGTCCGTGCTCAAGAAGCACGAGGCCCTGGTGCTGGACGCGCTGGGCAGCTCCCTCGACGAGTTCGGCCCGGGCGCCGCGGGCTCCGCGCCGCCGCCGAAGCGGCTCGAGAGCGCCGTCGCGTTCCTCAAGAAGCGCGTCAACGAGCTCGGCGCGAAGTTCAACGCGCTCGAGGAGGAGGTCGAGCACGACCACGACCTCATCGAGCACGGCGCCCTCGAGCACGCCGCCGAGCGGAGCCCCGCGCCCAAGCGGCGGGGGCAGTCGGGGGGGGCGGACGCGGGCGCGATCTTCGAGGTCCGCCACCAGCTCCGCGCGCTCCAGCAGGCGAGCGCCAAGGCCGAGACGCGCCTCTCCATGAAGGCCGACGGCTTCATGCTGACGGACGTGCTCACGCGGCTCAACAGCCTCGCCGACGCGGAGGCCTCCGGGTCCGCGGACGCGAAGCGTTTGGCGCGCGACTGCGGCCACCTCCGCGACGCGTTCCCGCGGCTCGTCAAGTGGACCAAGGACTACGTGGACCGGCGTTTGGGCGACTTCGAGGATTTGGCGGCGACGCAGCGCATCGACGCCGAGGTCGACGGCGAGCCGACGCTGCGCATCACGGGCGCGAACATGGACCAGGGCTGCACGATCGCCTCGCCGCTCGACGCGCACGCCGCGCTCCACGCGGCGGCCATGGCGCCCTTCCGGCCGGCGTCGGCGGCGGCGACGGCCCGCGCTAGGAGCCCGGCGCGACACCTCGAGGCGCCCGACGCGACGCCCCTCGACGACGGCCGCCGCCACCCGGCGCGGCGCCTCAAGGCCGCGCCCGGCCCGCGGCCCGCGTCCGCGAGCCCCGACGTCGCCGCGCCGCCGGGCGTCGTCGAGCGCGCCAAGCTCGGCAAGCGGCCCGCGACGTCCGGCGGCGACAAGAAGCGGCCGAACCCGCGGAGCCCCGCGGCCGTCGCCGGGAACCGCAACCCGCCGCGGTCCGCGACGCCGCCGGCCGAGAAGAAGCGCGACGACCTCGACCCGAGCCGCCTCGCGGGCTACGACGACCGCCACGTCGCCCACCTCGACCGCGGCTCGCCCGCGGCGTCGACGGTCTTCTCCGCGGTGTCGCACCCGCCCGCGAGCCAGCTCATCCTCATTCCCGGGCCCGGCGACAGCCAGGACGACGCGGACCCCCGCTCCCCGCCGCCCCGCATGTCCTACGGCGACGGCAGCGCCCTCGAGCCGCCCACGCCCCACTCCCCGACGCCGTCCTCCTGGACGCCCCAGACGCGCGGCGGCGGCGCGCCCTAGGCGCGACGACGCGCCCGCGCGCGTGGGCGCTACTGCTTTATATGGGCGTGCCGCCGAACAGGGGGGTGGGGGGGGGAACAGGCAGGCCGCCGCTCGCGGCGAGGCGGCGCGGCCGCGTTCGGTTGGTTCTTCTTGTGAGGGCCGGCGTCGCTCGCCGGACCCGCCCGGCGCGTCGCCTAGTCCTCGTAGGAGAAGTTGGAGGTCTGGTCGAGGAACATGAGGTCGACGTAGGTCGGGAGGGTCCAGAGGCTCGCGGGGCAGACCTTCTCGGCGGCGTCGCAGTGCGCGCGGATGGCCTCCATGGTCTCGAGGCGGAGGTCGCGCGCGAGCGTCGCCTGCGCCTCGCCCTCGGACTCCTCGATGGCGTGGACGGCGGCCTCGAGCGTGCCGACGGCGGCCTCGAGGTCGGACAGCGGGCCGAGGCCCGCGGCCTTGACCGACGGAATCACGTGCTTGTTGATCATGTCGATCATGCACTTGGCCTCCATGTCGACGACGCCGACGTAGTGGTCCAGCAGGATCTGCTGGCGCGCGGCGCACTCCTCCGCGCGGAGCACGCCCATCTCCTCGAAGAGGGCCGTGTTCTTCGGCGCGCTGTAGCGGCAGATGGCCTCGACGCCGGAGTCGATGCGCCAGACGCCGCGCTTCGTGAGCATGTCCTGGTTCGCCTCGTCGTAGTTGTCGCCGTTGAAGACGACCTTGGGCACGTGCGTCTTGATGAGCTCCGTGGCGACGTCGCGGGCGGACTCGCCGGCGTCCATGCGGTCCGCGACCTTCTTGAAGGCCGCCGCCGTGATGGTGTTGAGCACCGTGTTGACGAGCGACACGTTCTGCGCGGAGCCGACGGCGCGGAACTCGAAGCGGTGGCCGCCGTAGGGGAACGGCGACGTGCGGTTGCGGTCCTGGGCGGGGATGTCGAGCTTCTTCATGGCGGCGACGCCCATGTCGAGGGCCTTGGTGCCGGGCTTGTACTCGGCCTCGCCGCCGGCCGCGTAGGCCTCGAGGTAGCTCGTCATGTCCTCGCCGAGGTACGTCGACACGATCGCCGGCGGCGCCTCGCACGCGCCGAGGCGGAAGTCGTTGCCCGGCGACGCGATGGCCATGCGGAGGAGGTCGCCGTGGTCGTCGACGGCGCCGACGATGGCCGCCATGATCGTCGGGAAGACGTCGGGCGAGCCCGACTTGTCCGTGACCTGGCCGACGTTGAGCAGGTTCACGCCCTCGGAGGTGCCGATGGACCAGTTGTTGTGCTTTCCCGAGCCGTTGACGTTGTTGAAGGGCTTCTCCTGGAGGAGCGCCGCCAGGCCGTACTGGGGCGCGACCTCCTCGATGATCTGCATGAGCGTCACGTTCTGGTCGATCTGCGTCGTCGCCGTCCCGAACTGCGGCGCGAACTCGTACCTGGGCGGCACAAGAGTGATTCAACGTCGCTTCAACGTGAGTGTTCCGCGCGCGCGCGTTCCGGAAAAAGCATCCGTGCTTCGAGGCCGTTCTAAGAGATGATCGCTCGTCCAAAAATCAGCCGAAACGAGTGGAAAACGGCCGAGATCGGAGCCTTTGAAGTTGGGAATTTCGCGCTCTTGTGCTGCCCTGACTCGTACTGGTTCGGCGCGACCTCGCGGTGGCGCGTGACCAGGGGGATGCCGAGGCGGAAGCACTGGGCCTGGATCTCCTGCATGCAGGCCAGCGCCGCCGTCGCCGACGACGGCGACGCCATGTAGTGGTCGCACATCTCCTGGCCGCGGGGCGCGTCCGCGCCCATGATCGTCCGGCCCGTCATCATGAGGTCGAGGCGCTGCACGTACTGGTCGCGCGGGATGAGGAAGATCTCCTGCTCGAGGCCGATGTTCGACTGGAGGCCGCCGACGTCGAAGCCGAGCTTGGACAACAGGCGCGTGCCCTCGGAGTTGAGCGCGTCGACGGACCGGAGCAGCGGCGTCTTCTCGTCGAGCGCGTCGCCGTAGTAGGAGCAGAGCGTCGAGGGGATGAAGATGCAGTCGCCGCGGAGGAAGATGGGGCTCGTCGGGTCCACGGACACGTAGCCGCCCGCGCAGTGCGTGCCGCGGAGGCCGCCGTTCGGGTAGCTCGACCCGTCCGTCTCGCCCGCGAGGATGTCCTTGCCCTTGAGGTCCCAGACGGGCTTGCCCGCGGCATCGAACTTGAAGAAGGCGTTCTGCACCTGGCCCACGAGGCCGTGGCGCACGCCGGACGCGCCCAGGGGCTGGAAGACGTGGCAGAACGACGTCGCGTCGTTCTCCGTCGCCCACTCGAGCACCGCCGCCGCGACCTTGTCCGCGGCGGCGGCGTCCTTGGTCCACTCGCTGTTGTCGAGCGTGCCGGCGGCGAGGCCCTGCTTGCTGAGGTAGGACTCGGCGACGGCCCCCTTGAAGACGTGGTCGCCGTAGCCCTCGAGGAGGCCCGACACGGAACGCGTCGTCGCGGCACTGCGGCCCTTGGGGAGGACGGACTTGAGGGCGTTGAGCATCATCGTGCGCCTGCGGGCGAGTAAGAGGTGAGTGGCGGCGCGCGGCGGGCGGGGGTTGCAGGATGCCGCGAAGCCCGTCGAAACCGTCGAAGCGGCGCGAATCCAGCCATCGCGGCCCGCGCTCGTTCTGTTTGCGACGAGCGAAATCTGACGCGATGAGGCCCTCTGGGGTCTGGGCGGGGTGCGCGCGCGGGGGCTTTGGGGCGCTGGATCGTGCTTGGAGAACGTGTCGTCCGCGAGGCAATGCTACAAGTGGCCGCGAAGCCGTAAGATCGACGGCGAGCCAGCGGCGACGGCAAGTGGAAATGCCGTCGCAAGTTGCAGTGGGCCAAGGCGTTCGGATGGTTAGGCCTGGCGTTCCGGGCGCCCAGCCTGAAGTCGTCCTCTTACGCCGCTTTTAAAATACCAGCTCTCCTAAACGTCCGCCAGTCCGCCGCCCACGACCACCTCCGAATCGTCGGTGAGGAACGGGTTGCCGCTGTCGACGGACGGGGCCCGCGCCGCCGGCGCGGGCTCCGGCGACGGCGGCCGCGACGGCGGCCGGTGGGTCTCGGAGCAGGGCACGTGGCGCGCCGCGGCGCGGGGCGCGACCTTGCGCCGCTCCGGCGGCAGGCAGAGGTTGCGGTAGGCGTCGTGGACGAGCTTCGTGCCCGCGGGCGACTGCATCCGCGCGTGCGGCTCGACGCAGTCCGCGAGGAATTCGGGATCGATCAGCGGGAAGCGCACGTGGCGCAGCACGGCGTCGGCGTGGGCCTCGCGCTGCGCCTCGCGGCCCGGCGCGTCGAGCCAGGCCACCGCGGCCGCGAAGACGACCGACTCGTCGCGCGCGTCCAGACGGTCGTCGGCCAGGACCTCCTCCAGGAGGTGCAGGGGCAGATCGCCGAAGCCCGCGGCGGCCTCGGCGCGGTCGCCGGCGCCGCACGCCGCCCGCGACCCCTCGGCCATGGTCTTCTTCGTCGCGCGGCCGCCCGCGGCGACGACGGCGACGGCCGGGTCGACGGCGAGCCCCGCGGCCTCGTCGAAGTGGCGCAGCACGCAGAGCAGCACGTCGCGCCGGAGGAGCCGGCACTTGTGGCGGTCCGCGACGGCCAGGACCCGGCAGGCCCGGCAGGGGCGCGTCCGCTGCGCGACGAACGAGCAGCACTCCTCGACGAGCGCCGTCATCCGGAGCCGGCTCGCGAGCTCCAGGAGCGGCTCCACGTTCTCCTCCGTGAGGCGCACGACGCCGCCGTAGGCGTAGTCCAGGACGGCGCGCAGCACGGGCTCGCTCGCGCCGCCCACGCGCAGCTCGGGAATGTCGGTCTCGCCGTCGTCCGCGACGTCGTCGAGCATGGCCGCGAGCACGGGGCTCGACGCCCGCAGGAGCGCCCCGTGGGCGGGGAAAAGCGCGCCGCCGTCGCCTAAAATCGCCACGTCGCCGCCGCCGGCGGACAGCTGGTCCCGGAGCGCGGCGACGAGGCGCTCGCAGCCGTCGGCGCCGAGCGACACGGACCGCGCGGGCGGCGCGGGCGGCGGCGCCGGCGGCGCCGGCGGCGCGGCGGGGGCCGCCCGGAGGGGCACGACCTCCACGGCCACGGCCATGGGGATCTCATTCGTCAACGCTGCCGGTGATGGGTGGGACGACTGTCGCCGCCGCGCCGCGACGATGGCCCGTTTCTGGGCCGGCGGCGCGTTGGAGCTCAGAGCGGCGAGCGCGACGATGGCGCTCGCGAGGCACCGCACGGCCGACTCCCGCCGCACCCCCCACGCCTCGAGCTGCCCCATCGACGGGAAAGCCATGCTCGAGGAAAGCGCTTTCAATCCAAAGATCAGGTCGATGGTGCCCTCTGGCGTGGCGGGGCTGCGCTCTGATGCGTCGTGGCCTCGTGCTCGTCGGGCTCGCGGCCTCCGCGCGGGCGCTCACGACCCGCAGCAGCCGCGTCGTAACGCGCGGCAATTGGCGCAGCAGCATGCGCGGCGGAAGCGTTATGCAAATGAGCAGCGCCCCTCGAGAGGTGGAGGTACAAGCGGCCGCGGATTTCAAGATGATCACGGAGGAAGAGGCCACGGTGAGGAAGGGCGCCGGCGTCGCCATCGGCGTCGCTACGGCGGCTCTCTTCGCCGGCGGCGCCCTCGGCTACGGCCCGCTGTCCGCCGGCGCGTTCGGCGCGATCAGTACGTATCGTACGGGCCGCGAGTACCTCTTCGGCGTTTATTAAGCGTTACATTCCCCACTGTCAATTGCAACGCTTATTTTGCACCGAACAGGTACCAATGAGGCTGCATCGCCAACGGCAAGTGGAACGTCGACGCGCCGTTGAGCATGACGGACGTGCCGAAGGAGTACGCGGGCTTCGTCACCGAGAAGCAGAAGCAGCTCCGGGACAATATCCTGACGTCCGCCGCCGCGGGCGTCGTCGTCGCTAACGGCGTCGCCCTGCTCGCCGGCGACGCGTCGCTCGCGGTCGTCGGCCAGACGATCTCCGTGCAGCTGCCGCTCATCGGCCTCACCGCCGTGGCCTCGCTCCTCGCGAGGTAGGCCATCGCCGTCGCGCGACCATGACGGCGCGGCGCCACCGCCCCAGCGCGGCGCGCTGCGCCCGAAACAACAGCGCGTCTAGATGATAGCTCTCTTAGTGGCTCCTTTTTAGTCAAATTGAAGGCACGTTGTACCAGAGTGACGCGGATCCGGACGCTCGACGAGGTGAGAGCCTCGAGGAGAGCGTCTCGCGCCGGAACCGAGCGCCTTGACGCGCCGAGGAGCTCAAGAGAGAGAAGCACGACCAAGAGAAAATGCGCGCGCCTCTGCTCTTCGTATTAGCTACGGCACAACTCTGCGACGCGCTCAGCGCGACGACGCCGATAAAACTCCATGTGGAATTCTGCCAGCAATGAAAGTACTCCCTGAAGGTCGATCGCCTCGAAACTATGCTCAAGGATCGCTTCGGTGACGACATCGTCATCACCGGACGCAACGATCCCGATCAACTTTCGCGTCTCTCTCCCAGCGGCGAGTGGCGCGTCGGCGCGTTCGAGGTCACCCGGCTGGGCGACGACGAGCTCCTCTACAGCAAGCTCGAGACGAAGCGGCACCTCGTCGGCACGAGAATAAAGGTCGACGGCGAGGTCGTCCACGACGACAAGCCCTTCAACGAGTGGGTCGAGAAGTGGGGGTTCTAGTGCAGCCAGCCCGCGCGCCGCGTGACGGCCCGCGCGGCGAGGCACGCCGCCTCGCCGCGCGGGCCCGAAGAAGGCCCCGGGAGCTCCCTAAGAACGCGTCCTCGACGGAAGGTGAGGCGTACTACACACAGGCTCCTACGACCCGCCGTCCTCCCACGTCGCCCCCAGGTCGAGGTCCGCGAGGAGGTGGTCGACGACGACGCCGTCGCGCTCCACGCCGAGCACGACGCCCTCGAAGCCCTCGACGTAGGACACGTAGCAGCGGCTGACCGCGGCCCAGTCCGCCTGGTCGTCGTCGCCCTCGAGCTTGAGCCGCCGGCCGACGTGCCTCGCGCGCGCGGCGGCCTCGTCGGGCGCCGCCGTCGGCAGCGAGCCGTCGTCCGGGAGCACGACGACCTCGTCGCCGGGCCAGGGCTCCGTGAACGTCGTCGCCGGGTCGTCGTCGTAGCGCACGTCGATGGAGCTTTCGCCGCGCGCGACGACGGTGCCGAAGTACCAGCCCCAGAGCGGGCCGCCGCTCGCCGAGCCGTCGTCGACGACGAACCGCGTCCGCACGCGGTCGCCCGCGCCCGCGTCGAAGTCGGGGGCGTCGTGGCGCCGCGTCTCGCGGCAGTGCAGCGCGCCCACGTAGCCCTCGAGGCGGCAGGCCGCGCAGGGCTTGCGCCGCTTCCGGCGGCTCGCGCCCTCGGCGCTCCGCAGCGCGGCCTCCGGGAGGAGCACGAGCGTCTTCGCGAGGAGCGTCGCCTTGCGCGTGAGCGCGGCGCCGCGCGCGATGTGGGGCAAGCGGCCGTTCTCCGGGGACAGCGCGTCGACGTCGAAGCGGTCGCAGATCTCGTCGACGGTCTCCTGGCCCTCGCAGCGGTAGTACGCGCGGCCGTCGCCGTCGACCAGGACCTCGCCGCCCAGGATCTCGAGCGCCGCGCGCGGCGGCACGAGCGGCGGCTTGGACGCGTCCCAGGCGCCGCCCGGGAGCGCGAGGCGGTCGCCGGCGACGACGGCGTCGTAGGCCGTGCGGATGGGCCGCTCGCGGCCGGAGTTCGTCGCCGCGAGGCTTCGCGCCGCGTTGATCTTCAGCGCGCGGCACGCGAAGTCGACGGACTCGCCCTCGCGCGCCGTGTAGCGCCAGCCCCGCCCGTCGTAGAAGAAGGCGACCTCGCCCGCGCCGCCCGCCGCGCGCCGCAAACCGTCGCCGGCGACGACGGCCTCGACGACGGCCGCGGCGTCCGCGGGCCGCGGCGCGGGCGGCTCGGGCCGCCGCCGCTTCCGCGGCGCCGCGCCGCCGGCGTCCATGCGCCGCGCGCCGAGGTTCGCCGCCCGCGGCCGCGCGGGCGGCCACTCGGCCTCGTCGGCGAGGATCGCGCGCAGCGTCCGCCGGGGCACGTGCGCGCGGCACCAGAAGCACGTAAAGTCGAAGTCCTTGAGCCGCTCGAGGCAGGGCCCGCAGGCCGTCTTCCCGCAGCAGCGCAGCGTCGCCAGCGGGCGCTCCTCGGCGCAGACCTCGCAGACGCCCGCGGCCCGGCCCGTCGGGATCTCCGCGTCGCCGAGGAGCCGCGCGAGCTCGTCGTCGCCGCCGAAGTCGCCCGCGCGCGGCGACCGGGGCCGCGCGCGCTCGCAGGTGTGGCGCTCCTTCTTCCCGCGGCACGCGCGGCACGCGGGCTCGGGCGGCGGCACGAAGGTGCCCAGCAGCTCGTGCGCCGGCGGCGCCGGCGCCGGCGCCGGCGCCGGCGCCGCGGCCGCGGCCGCGCCGGCCGCGAGCGTCAGCCAGAGGCGGCTCGCGGCCTCGTAGCGCTCGAGCTTCGACCCCCAGACGTCGCCCGCGCCGGGCGGCGGCGCCTCGTCCGGCGCCGGGGCCGCCGCGGGGGGCTCCGCGCGCGGCGAGGGGGCGGGCTTGCCGGGGAAGCGCCACGCCGCCGCCGCCTCGGGCGCCGCGCGCCGCGCGGCGAGTTCGGCCTCGTAGATGAGGTCGAAGAAGTGGTAGGGCCGCCGCTCGGGCAGGACGAAGGACCCCGCCGGCAGCGGGAACGGCTCCGGCACCGCCTCCGCCTTCGGAGCCTCCTCCGCCTCCGGCTCCGCGTCCGCCTCCTCCTCGGGCTCGGGCTTGGGCCGCTTCCGCGGGGACCGCGGCGCCTCGGCGCGGTCCCGCTTCGCCGCCCGCGCGAGGCGGAGCTCCTCGTCGTGGAGCTGCGCCGCGAGCCGCGCGTCCTCCGTCGCCACCGCCGCCGCGCGCCGCGACGGCCGCCGCGCGCGGCCCGCGGCCTCGACCTCGCGCGCCAACGCCGCGTCGTCCTCGTCGGCGTCGTCCTCGGCGTCGTCCTCGTCGGCGTCGTCCTCGTCGGCGTCGGCGGCGTCGGCCTCGGCCTCGGCGTCGGCGACCTCGGCGTCGCCGGCGGCGTCGCCGGCGGCGTCCGCGGGCGCCGCCGCCACGACGGTGACGCTCGCGTCCGGGAAGTGCACGGTCTCCTCGTCGCCGTCGTCGTAGACGATGCGCGCGCGGTTCGGGCCGAGGCGCTCGGCGACGGTGCCCGCGTAGCGGACGCCGTCGTCGAAGCGCGTCTCGACCCGCGCGCCCGGCGGCGGCGCGGCGAGTCGCGAGCTCCGCCGCGAGCCCTCGCGCCGCGGCCGGCCGCGGGGCGGCAGGCGCGACTCGCCGCGCCGCGCGGCGGCGTCGGCGAGGGGATTGCCGCTCGCGCCGGCGCGCCGCGAGAAGCCGCGCTCCTCGAGCTCCTCGGGCGCGGCCGAGCGCTCGACGAACGCGTCGCGCGCCGGCAGTTTCAGGCCCGCGCACGCGACGCGGACCTCGACGACGCCGTAGCCAAAGGGGCAGACGCGCGGCTTGGTCTCCAGGACGCGCCGGCGCCGCGAGTAGGGCCGCCGGCTCAGCGCGCCCGCGAACCAGGGCACGCCGTCGTCCTCGGACGACGACGACGACGACGACGCCTCGGCGGTTTCGCCCGCGGCGAGGACGTGGCCCGCCTCGGGCGGCGGCGGCGACCGACTCGTGGCTCGGAGCGCGCGGAAGTCGTCGCGCTTCTCCGGCTTCCTCGGGCGCGGCGCGCGCCGCGGCGGCGGCGGCGGCGCCGCGGCCTCGGCCGCGCCGCGCGCGCGCCGCCGGCCGCGCGACGTCACGCCCGCGGGGAAGGGGTCGTTGAGGCCCGTGGCGTTGCAGTCCGCGAGCTGCGTGAGCATGCGCATGCCGCGGCGCGCGGAGGTCGACGCCTTGGGCGCCTCGTCGGCCCCGCGCGTCTCCGGCTCCGTTTCGCCGGGGGCTTCGGCCTCCGGCTCGGGCGCCTGTTCCTGCTTGAGGCGGGCCTCGATGCGCCGCATCTCCGCCAGCGCCGCCTGCATCGCGTCCTGCGCCGGCGCCGGCTCGAGCTCCGGCGCCTCGGGCTCCGGCTCCTCGGACTCCGACATGGGCTCGGGCTCGACCTCGGGCTCGGGCTCGGGCGCGTCGGCCGCCTCCGGCTCCGAGGGCGTCTGAGACCGCTGCGAAAACAGGACGACGTGGCGCGCGCTCTCCGCCAGCCTCGATTTGGCCTCGGCGTCGAGCTGCTGCCACTCGGTGCGCGTGAAGCGCTCCTTGATGAGCCGAAACTCGACGAGAGCCCTCTCGTCCAAGCTCAGCGCGCGCGCGGTAGGGTCGTAGAAGGACGCGGCGTCCTTCTCCTCCGACGGCGAAACGGGGATCGCGCTGCGCCGACCGCGTTCGTCAGCGCGATCTTCTCGGAAACTTGCACCGAGCTCCGTCATATCTGTAGCGGCTCAGCCCATGCTCTCTCCACAACCTGCCCTTCCTACAACCTACATCCTCACCAACCTCGCCAACCTACCCAACCTATCCAACCTACAGTGCCCCGATCAACGTACATCTAGGTGCACCCATAGGAAATTAATTAATAAAGATCAATCATCGAATTCCGGCCGGCGGAGCCAGAGTCATTAGTCGTCCATAGAGGCTGTACGTCGACCGCGCGCGCGGGCGCGGTGTCGCGGCGGTCCGCGGGCTGAAATCACGGCCAAAATTGGGTTATGGTCGTATCAAAGCAAGTTTGATGATATTCGCGCGTTAATTGCACGTTTGCGATGGCTTTTTGCGCGCGGTCGCTGGTTCGGGTCGCGAAATCGCAAGATTTAACTTCAACAAATGTGCTGAAGTTCAACAAAAATGTTGACTTTTAAATCCAGGCTATCAGAATCTGAGTTTTGATCGGTGCACTGCCAACCTACCACGCTCCTACCCAACCTACCCAACCTACCCAACCTACCCAACCTACCCAACCTACCCAACCTACCCAACCTACCCAACCTACCCAACCTACCCCGCCCAGAGAAGGCGCCGAGCTCGAAGTAGGTCGCGCCCTCGTGGAAGCCCGCGGCCTTCGGCCACCACACGCGCAATGTACATGTCTCAAGTTAGGACTGGGGCTCTTCGGGTTTGAAAACTTCTCTTCGTTCGGGCGGCTGCTCACAGTTCGGCGACGTTGGCGTAGTCGCCGTTCTCCTCGTCGCCGTCGCTCGCCGGCGCGCGCGCCGGCGGCGCCAGGGGCGTCGACGGCGTGTAGGGCGGCTGCGCGCTGTACGTGGTCTCGCTGTCGCGGCGCGGCGCGAGACGCGCCTCCTTGACGGAGATGTGGAGGACCTGGATGATGGGCTGGCCCGCGTTCCAGCGCGAGTGCGCGTCGAGGGAGTTGCGGTAGAAGACGACGGCCTTCATCGAGTAGGTCTCGGCGCCGATCGGGTAGTCGGACGACGCGTTCTTCTTCTCGAAGCCCGGCGGCGCGGGCTGCTTGCCCGAGGCGTTGCGCCACTCCGTGACGCGCAGGTCGCGGCTCGCGTCCGGCGGCGACGGCGCCCGCTGGCTCGGGTTCCGGCCGACGACGACGTAGTAGCCGGGCTTGTAGGCGCGCGTGAACGTGGCCGTCCAGGGCTTGCCCTTGACGTAGCACCCCGTCTCCGGCAGGGCCGCGATGGGGCACTCCGCGGGCACGTAGTCGGCGTGGAGCGGGATGCAGCCGTGGTACCGCCGGCCGAAGATGTCCTCGACGATGCGGCGGCAGCCGGCGAAGTCGCCTGTCTCCGCGGCTTCGAGGATCTTGCTGCGGTAGATGTCGAGGTCGACGCAGATCGGAACCGCGTTCAACTGATTCGAGACCTCCATCGGGTCTTTCTCACGGGCGGAACGAGTCGCGGGCGAGGCGTCGGATGGGAAACGTCGCACGTGCAGGTGCTGCGACGGTGGCAGAGCAGTACGTGCCGCGCGAGAGTCGGCGAAGTCGTTGAACGCGTCGCGCAATGTGGGTCGCGGCGGAGCGATCGAGTCGCCCAAGGTAGGCGCGAGGCGGGGTGGGGTGTGTCGCCTAATGCGCTAGAGAGAGTCGTTCTCAGCCGAACTGACGTTCGATCACAAATTTGACCCGGGCCGATTGTGCGAGAGTCGCCACAAGGCCTGCCACACAACACATGAGCTTAGCCGCGACCTCAGAACTCGGCGACGAACGCGATGTAGAGCACGACGGGCACCACCGCCGCCACGACGAGGCTCGTCGCGAAGGTGTCGAACGCGGCCTCCGCGTCGGCGCATCGCCGCTCGTCGAAGAAGAACGCGAGGACGAAGCGGTCCCCGCCGGTGACGGCCTCGGCGCCGTGCTTGAGCCGCGCGCCGTGGACGACGGCGCCGCCGACGTCCGGGAAGAAGGTCGCGTCCCGGAGGCTGCTGAACCGCGTGCCGCCGCCGTCGATGTAGCCGTCGCCGGCCCGCGGCGGGCCGAGCTCCGCGAAGCCCGCGCAGGTGGCGCAGTCGCAGCCGCGGCGCTCGAGGTCCGCGCGGCTGTGGACCGCGAGGAGCGCGTCGCAGGTCTCGCCGGCGCACGTCGGCGGGCAGAGGCCCCGCTGGCGGATCGAGCCCTCGTACTCCCAGAGAGGATGCGCGAAATCGAAGGACTCGTTCGCGAACCTCCGCTCCGGGTGGGCCGCCGGGTCGACGCAGGTGGCCCGCGGGTCGCCCGCGGCGCGCCGCGGGCACGTCTGCGGCGGGAGCGCGGCGTAGGCGGGCACGGCGACGCCCGCGCGGCGCGGCGGGTTCAGCGCCACCGTCGACGAGTAGCGGCCGCCGTCCGCGTGCTGGCCGAGGGCCGCCTGGCCGGCGTCCGCGGCGTATTTGATGACGAAGCCGTCGACGAGGACCGGCTCCTCGGCGCCGCAGCGGGCGACGACGGCGCGGGCCGTCGCGGCGATCGCCTTCTTCGCCGCGGCCTCGGCGGCCGCCGAGCCGCCGCGCGCGTAGACCGCCTCGAGCGGCAGGTCGCGCGTGGCAAAGTGCTTGTGGCGCGTATGCGTGTAGCCGCCGAGCGCCGCGGCCGCCGACTCCGCGGCGGCGACGATTGTGGCTGCTTCCGCCGGGCTGATGATGCCGGCGCTCATCGACGGCGCGCAGAGGCCGCGCTCGTCGCGGTCGCGGCTCGGGCAGTTACTCAGCCCACGGAGGCCTTGCTGCATATGGCTCAACCATCCGAGCAGCAGCGTCCGCAGCATTCTCAGTGTACCTAGGCAGATTCACTCAGCTGGGTCCACATCGACACAAGCTCGAGTGCAACCGAGTTCAACTTGCCGTCAGCATGCGTAAACGCCGTTAAAAACGCAGCATCATTACGCGTCCCCGCGCCGGAACCAGCCGCCGACGCGGCCCGCGACGCGGCCCACGAGGCCCGGCGCCTCCGCCGCGGGCTCGGGCTCCGCCGGCGCGGGCTCGGGGGGCTCCTCCGCGGCGGCGGCGGCGGCGGCGGCGCGGTCCGCGGCGGCCCTGGCGCGCTCGGCCGCCAGGTCCGCGCACGCGCCCTTGTGCGCCTTGAAGTCGCTCGTCTGGCAGGCGCGGCCGCAGTAGTAGACGCTCCGGCAGCGGCCGCAGCGGAGGAGCTTCGCGCCGGCGCTCGGCGGCGCGGCGCAGCGCGCGCAGCGGTCCTCGAAGCCCACGGCGCCGGGCCCGTCGTAGGTTCCGCGCTTCGCGACGGCGTCGTCGCCCGCGGGCCGCACCTCGACCGTGCACGCGTCGCCGGTTTTGACCGCGACGCGCACGGGCGCGCGCGGCAGCGCTACCGACGCGCCGTCGCGCTTCAGGCACGAGGTCGCGAACTTCGCGACGGCGTAGGCGACGAGGGCGAGGTCGCGGAGGGCCGCCGCGGGCGGCGCGTTGGCCCACATGGCCCGGAGGTCGCTCTCGCTCGGGTCGGGCAGGAGGGGCCCCGTCTTGCGAAAGACGAGCGGCACCGCGCCGCCGTCGACGGGCAGCTCGAGCTCCGCGACGTCGTCGAGGGTCCCGAAGGGCGCCTCCGCGAAACTCTGGTACTGGAGCGCGTCGCAGGTGCAGACGTCGGCGCCGCGCGCGCGGCACAAGTCCTCGAACGACTCGTAGACGAACAGCCCGCGCGCGTGCGCGTCGCCCCGGCCCGCGACGAGGACGCACTTGGGCTGTGTGCGCCGCGGGAGGGTCACGAGCAGGGGCTCCATGGTCGTCAGCGCGTCCCAGGGCGCCGCGGCGCGCAGCGCCCTCGCGGCGTCGAAGAGGCGGCGCACGTCCGCCGCGGAGAGCTCGGGCCGCGACTCGGGCAGCGACGGCCGCAGCGACGCGGCCCGCGACCGGCCGGGGAGGCCCGCGTCCATGTTCTCCATGCGGTAGTCGAGCACGTTGGCCAGCGCCTGCCAGAGGACGCACTCAACGTCGCGGTGGAGCACGAGCCGCGCCGCCGAGCCGGGCGCGTCGTCGTCGCCGTCCTGGCACTTGACCGCCGCGACGTCGAGGGGCAGCCGCGCCCGCAGGGCCGCGGCGAGCGCCTTGGCCGACGACGCGCGCAGCGCGCCGCCGGCGCCGGGGCAGACGCGCACGTCGCCGGGCACGTCGCCCGCGAGCGCGCAGACGGCCGCGACGCACGCGGCGACGTGGGGCGCGACGGCCGCGACGCCGTCGGCGTCGCCGACGGGGAAGCAGTCGAGCCGTTTCGCGGCGGGCCGGGCGACGGCGACCCACCAGCCGCGGTGCGCGCCGCCGTCCGCGCTTTTCAACCAGGCGCGGCGCCGCTTCGCGAGCACGTACCAGGTGTCCGTCTCCTTGCCGACGAGCGCCTCGACGGTGCCGCGCGGGTCCGCCGCGGCGTCGGGCGGCGGCCGCACCTCCATCGCGTACGTCCGGTCCACCTCGTCGGACATGTGCGACACGTCGAGGCGCCGGTCCATCGTGGCGCTGCGGGTTGGGCCGCGCTTTGCCGTTTCGTGTGTGTTGAGGTGAGATCGATTGCCTTCCCGGCCCAAGTAGACGCCTCGCGCGTCGCGCGCCGTCGCGATGGCGCCGGCGAAGGATGCTGACCTCGAGCCGGAGAACTGGGTCATGCCCGAGGTCCTGAAACCCGACGAGAAAGAGCTCATGGAGACGATCACGCGGTCGGCGCGTCCGCCCCCCGGCGTGAGAAACGGTTCCCCCTCGTTCCCTCTCGAAACCCACGCGTCCACCCGTCCAACCCCGCTCCCCACCCCAGGCCGGAACACGTACGACAACGCGAAGAAGGAGACCAAGGGCAAGCGCATGAGCGCGCGCGAGGAGGGCGACGCGGCCGCGGCCGAGGCGGAGAAGATCGCGGCGGACGCGGCGCGGCGGCGCAAGAAGAAGGGCGGCTGCTGCGGCGGCGGCGCCGACGACGTCGTCGCGCGGAAGAAGTTCGCCAAGCCCGGCGACCTGCCCGGCGCGTCGCGCGGCGGCGGCGGCGACGACGGCGGCGGCGACGACGAGCGGGTCTTCGGCGCCGAGGACGACGCGGTGCTCAAGGACCCGAGCGGGGGCGCGTCCTACAAGATCAAGAAGGTCATCGGCGAGGGCGGCTTCTCGCGCGTGCTCCTCGTCGAGGCCCTGGGCGGCCACGCGAAGGCCGGCCTCTTCGCGGCGAAGATCATCCCGAAGTCCCACCTCAAGCTCGCGGGCGACTCGTTCATCAAGGCGACGATGCTCGAGCGCGACCTGCTCGCGGGCATCGCCCACCCCTTCGTCCTCGGCCTCTACCACTCCTTCCAGGAGAAGGACCGCCTCGTCATGGTCGTCGACTTCTGCCAGGGCGGCTCCGTGCACTACCACGTGAACATCGCCGTCAAGGCCACGGGCCGGGGCCTCGACGAGAAGCGGAGCAAGTTCTACGTCGCGGAGATCGCCCTGGGCCTGAGCCAGCTCCACCTCTTCGGCATCGTCCACCGCGACCTCAAGCTCGAGAACGTGCTCGTGAAGCGGTCCGGCCACATCGCGATCTGCGACTTCGGCACCTCGAAAACGCTCAAGCGCACGGCGACCGACGGCGCGCCGGACCGGAGCAGCATGGGCGACGACACGCCGGGCCGCCGCGACGCCGGCCGCCAGCCCTTCACGCGGTCGATCATCGGCACGCCCGCGTACATGGCGCCCGAGATGCTCCTCGAGCAGCCCTACAACTACAGCGTCGACTGGTGGGCGCTGGGCGTCGCCTTCTTCACCATGCTCCGGGCCAAGCTCCCCTTCGACGGCGGCCGCAACCACGAGGAGGAGAAGATGCTCTGGCGCATCGTCAAGAGCCGGCCGCGCTACGACGCGTCGTGGTCCCCCGACACGCGCGCGGCGCTCCAGTACCTGCTCCAGAAGCTGCCCAAGACGCGCGTGACGTCCCTGGACCAGCTCAAGCAGCTCGACCTCTACGCGGGCTTCGACTGGGCCGCCGTCGAGACCGAGCGCGCGCGGCCGCCGTTCGTGCCGGCGCTCAAGTCCAAGGACGACATGGCCTACGTCCCCGTCAAGTACGCCAACGCGCCCCTCCCGAGCCGCGCCGACACGCCCTACAAAAAGGGCGACTCCATGCGCAAGCTCTTCCGCGACTTCTCCCACCGCGGCGCGTTCGCCAAGGCCCCCTCCGCGCCCTTCTAGGGCCCCCTCCCCCCCGCTCGCCCGCGAAGTAGCACCTACTATGACCCGGCCGCGCCGCGCGTCGCCTTCATGGTCGAGTGGGTCGTGTCGAGCTTGCGGCGCTGGAGCGGGTTGAGGTGCGGCGCGAGCGCGGTCCGCGCGGTCTTCAGGCCCCGGAGGATCGCGTCGTCGCGCGCCTCGCGGTGCGCGTCCGCGAGCGCCATGAGCACGTCGAAGGCCCGCGACGCGAAGGGCGCGTCGGCGAGCTCGAGCGCCGCCGGCGCGTCGACGCGCCGGTCTTCCGCCGCGCGGCGCTTCTTCGGGTGCGCGGCGAGCGCCTCGAGGATCGCGTTCATGCGCCGCGCGACGGCGGGCACGTCGCCGGCGGCGCACGTGAGGTTCCGCAGGTCAGGCCGCGCCGCGTCGCCGAGCAGCACGTTGTAGGGCCCCACGGCGGACCAGAGCGCGAGCTCGCCGACGAGCTGGTGCGGGAACCGCGGCAGCTTCTCGAGGACCGCGTCGAAGAGGTCGACGTAGTGCGCCCGCAGCTCCTTCTTGTGCAGCACCTCGCTCCGCCCGCCGTTGAGGGCCACGGCGAGGGCATCTCTCAAAGCGCCGGCGTCGCCGAGCTTCGCCGCGGCGTCGCGCGCCTTGTCCGCGGCCGTGCGCCCCGCCGGCTCGAAGCTCGCCTTCCGCAGGAGCTTCGCGAGCACGCCCGCCGCGCGGCCGAAGCGCTTCTCGGACCGCAGGTGCGGCAAGAGGCGCGCGAGCGTCGCCGCGACCGTGGACTCCCGGGGCGCGTCGCCCGCGGGCGCCGCCTGGCGCGGCTCCGCGCCGTCGCCCTTTGGTCGCGGGCTCGCGGGCGGGCTCTTGAGGAGCTTGCCGCGCCAGCGCGCGACGACGGCGTCCATCTCCTCGGCCTCGGCGGCCCTCTTGCCCGCGAAGCCCGCCGCCTCCGCGGGCCCGGCGCCGACGGCGCGCGCGTAGCCGAGGCCCTCGAACTCCCAGCACTCCGCGAGGGCCTCGGCGAAGCGCAGCTTCTTCTCGCTCGGCGCCGACGACGCGTCGGAGAGGCTCCGCTTCTTCTTGAGCGACGACCGGGGCGCCGCGGCGTCGGCGCGGTAGTCGCGGCGCGGCGTCGGCGCCGGCGTCGACGACCGCCGCGCCGCCGCGTCGAGGTCGCGCCGCAGCTTCGCGAGCGACTCCGAGAGCTGCGACTCCAGGGACGCGTGCGCGACCTCGAGCGTCGCGAGCGTCGGCGCCGACGCCCACTCGCGCCAGCAGCCCGGCGCCTCCGGGCCCAGCAGCTCCAGCAGCGCGTCGTAGTCGGGCGCCTCCGCGAACCCCAGACGCCGCGTCGCCGCGAGGAATCTGCCGACGCGCGGGCAGTCGGCGCAGAGCTCGTCGGGCGGGAGCCGCGTCTTCGCGCGGTGGATGTCGACGTCGGGGTAGGGGTACTCGGCCGTGGGCTTCGAGGGCAGCCGCGACCAGGGCAGCGCGCCCCTCCTGCAGTAGAGCGCGACGTAGGCCACGGCCTCCAAGTCGCACCGCCGGCTCCGGCTCGCGAGCTTCGCGTCGCCGTGGGCCTCGATGGCCCGGTGCGCGTGGACGCTCAGGTACTTGACGGAGCCGTGGACGCGCCGCGACGCCGCGGGCTGTCGGTCCGCGAGATCGACGTGCGCGCCCTCGTCGCCGCGGAAGCCGTGCGCGAGCCCGAAGTCGACGAGGAAGAGCTCGCAGTCGTCGCGCGGGAGCGCCGGCGCCGCGGCGACGCAGACGTTCTGGGGCTTGACGTCGCGGTGCGCGTGGCCCGTGCGCTCGTGGAGCTCGCGGAGCGCGACGACCAAGCGCCGCGCGACGCCGCGCGCGGCGTCGTCGCTCAGCGGGCCCCGCGCGGCGACGACGTCCGCGAGGTTCGGCCCGAGGCGCTCCATGCAGAGCACGTTGACGTCGTGGACCGCGTCGGCGTCGCCGGCCGGCGCGCCCTGGCGCGCCACCGCGCCCGCGAACGCGCCCGTGTCGTACGCGCACCGCGCGACGCCGACGCCCGGCGGCAGCGGCGCCGACGCGCGCGACGCCTCGAGGCGCCGGTAGACGGCGACCTCGCGCTGCATCTGCTTCTTCGGCGCGGCGCAGGCCTCGATCTTCAGGACCGCGTCGACCCAGGACCCGTCGCGCTGCAGCCAGCGGCCGTAGTGCACGACGCCCGTCGCGCCGCGCCGCAGCAGGCGGCCGACCTCGTACTTGCCCGCGATGATGCAGGGTTTGTCGTCGTTTTTGGCATCGGCGGCCTGCATCGTTTTTCACCACTGCTGGACCCGGCCTTTTACGCGCTCATTGCGCGCCAAGACCAGGTCGACCTTGCGGCAAAATTGCACAAGCACCGGCTTTGCCACAAATCGCAAGAGATCTCAGGCCAGCCGTCCAGCACTGCCGCCGTGCCGAACAGCCGTGCAGCAACGCAGCAGCAGCGACGACCATGAAGTTCACGGACGCCGTGGGCGAGGCCTGGGAACAGCTCAAGGACGACAAGAGCGACGTGACCTACGTGTTGGTGGGCTACGACGACAAGAAGACCATCGGGCTCAAGAGCAAGGGCCCCGGCGGCCGCAAGGCGTGCCTGGCCCTCTGCGGTAGCGACAGCGACATCGTCTTTGGCGGCTTCCGCGTGACGGCCGTCGACGACCGGTCGAACACGACGAGCCGGCGGACGAAGTTCGTCTTCTTCCACTACCAGGCGCCGAACGCGCCGATCAGGGCAGGAAAAGGGTGATTCAACGTCGCTTCAACGTGAGTGTTCCGCGCGCGCGCGTTTCGGAAACAGCACCTACGCTTCGAGAGCGCTCCGAGAGATGATCGCTCGTCCAAAAATCAGCCGAAACGAGCGGAAAACGACCGAGATAGGAGCCTTTGAAATTGAGAATTTCGCACCCTTTTCCTGCCCAGGCGCCGATGATGGCCAAGGCCAAGGCCGGCAGCCACCGCGCGGAGTGCGAGCGCGTCATGTCCGGCTCGCACGTCCAGTTCCAGGTCGACGGCCTCCACGAGCTCTCCGAGGCCGAGATCGTCGCCAAGCTCCGGCGCTGCGGCGGCGCGCACCAGCCCACGGGCTTCGACTTCGGCGAGGGCGACGTCGGCGAGGGCAGCGCCGAGGCCGCGCCCGAGGCCGCGCCGGCCATGAACGCCCGCGACTTCGCCCAGGACAACGTCAAGGCGCCCCTCGACGCGGCCGCGGAGCACGCGGCGCGCGCGAAGGAGTACCAGACGGCGAACGTGCTCAACTCCAGCGCGAACGCCGCCGCCAAGGCCGCCGCCGCGCCGGCCGCGACGCCGCCGCCGCCGCCGACGGCCGCCATGGCCGCCGCGACCATCGCCGCGCCCGCGGCGCCGCCGGCCGCGGCCGCGGCCGCGGCGCCGCCGGGCGGCGACGGCGTCGTGCTGCTCGTGACGTCCATGCCGTCGACGTCCGTCATCGACGGCGCGCAGAACTTCCTGCGCAACATCTTTCGCGGCAAGAAGATCCCCGTGGAGGAAATCGACGGCTTGAAGCCCGAGAACAAGGAGGCGCGGTCGGAGCTCTTCGCGTGCAGCGGCCTCCGCGGCCAGTACCCGCAGGTCTTCACGCGCGCCGGGGGGGCGTTGGCCTTCGTCGGCGACTTCGAGAAGATCCAGTCCCTCAACGACTGCGAGGACCTCCCCGCGGACGTCCTCGCCGCGAACCCGGCCATCGAGACGTTCTCCGCCGTCTTCAAGGCCTACATGGGCTAGGCGGGGGGGGGCGCGTCGCTTCGCTAGTCACACATTGCATGCTACGGCTGTGTCAATTGCGCTTCGCGGGGGCAGCACTTGGGGCTTGTGCGCGCTTACGAGGCGTCTTGCGATCTCGAGGCGCCGCGGCGTGTTTTTGCTCCGACGACGTCGGCGCCGGGAGGCGGCGGAGGCGATTTTAACTTCCTCAAATTCCGCCTTGCCCCGCCTGCCACAGGCGTTCAGGCCCCCACCACCCCGCTGGACCCAGGTGGGATGAAGATGGTGAGGCCGATCATGAGGACCGGGTCGATGCCCGGCGCGATGGTCACGTCGTAAACGTGCTCGCGAACGTAATATACAGGTGGCCCGATGCTCGGCGAGCAGAGGCGACTTCAAGATGCACGGCACGGCGCACCGAGCGACGCATGCCGTGTGCCGCCTCACTCGCAGCGCCCCCCCTCCACCCGGTAGACCCCGACGAGACGCGCAGCGTTAGGTCGGGTGGCAGAACTCGAACTTGGGGACGTCGGTGAGGCAGGACGCGTCGAAGCGGCCGTGGAGCTCGACGCCGAGGCCGCCGAAGCCCGCGGTCCAGACGGAGCCGTAGCTCGCGTCGGACCCGTCGCTGTCCGTCTCGCGGTGGGGCATGTAGGGGACGTCCGCGGCGTCGAGGAGGGGCGCGAACTCGTCGAGGGCGTCGGCGTCGTCGACCGCGAGCCCGACGTGCGAATCGAGGTACGCGTCCCATCCCGCGCCCTCGCCCATGAGCTTGCCGTGCGCCTCCTTGACGTAGGTCTCGTAGGCCGCGACGCCGCGCGGTCCCGGCCGCGCGCCGGCGTTGCGCACGGCGACGATCTCGACGAGGGAGCCGTTGGCCGCGCCGTACGCGGCCGCGCCGGGCACCTGGGCAGCAAAAGGGTGATTCAACGTCGCTTCAACGCGAGCGTTCCGCGCGCGCGCGTTCCAAACAAAACATCCACGCTTCAAGACCGTTCCGAGAGATGATCGCTCGTCCAAGAATTAGCCAAAACGAGTGAAAAATGGCCGAGATATGAGCCTTTGAAGTTGGGAATTTCGCTCTCTTTTGCTGCCCCGCCGGGCACCTCGACGGCGCGGTAGCCGCAGTTCCGCTGCGCGCCGCCTTTGACGTCGAGGTCGAGCCGCGCCGTCGCGACGAAGGCGTCGAGCTCCTCGGGCCGCGTCGCGGGCACGGACACGCGCACGAGCTGCATGGGGTAGCGCGCGGAGCCCTGGGCCTCGTCGCCCGCGGT